CCAAAACCCCAAAACCCCAAAACCCCAAAACCCCAAAACCCCATGAGTCAAGTTTAAAACTGAAAAAGAGAGTTGGGTGATTGAAATAATTTTTAAATGAAGGTAGTTAATATAAAATATAAAATCAATAAGCAAGTAATCAAGAGGATATAAAATGTCAAACAACGAGGGCAGCCCAGATAAGAACAATGGCGATTTCCCAGAGGGAGGAAGATACGAGGATTATCTTGCCATGTTAGAGGACCATAGAAAAAATTGCGAGAGAGACGGAAACTTCGTAGAAGCTAATATTGCCAAGCAGAGAATCGAAGATCTTAAGATACAAGAGGGTTAACGATAACTTGAGAACTTAATGTTAAAGTAATAATAAGACAGACTACAAATGGAAGAGGAGCATGCCAAAGAGTATGAGAACTTCCAGTCTGAATGGGATCAAAGAATGTAGTAAAAGGAACAGGAGCATAACATAGCACTTCAGCAGCTAGAGGAGAATTAGCAAAAAGAACTTGAAATGAATAGAGCTAATCTTGAATAGAAAATATCATAAGTATTCAAGGCATCAAGTGAGTTATTGAACCTTAGAAAAATCCAAGATCAACTAGCTAGACAAAAGGAATATGCTGAGGCCCACAAGGTTCAAGCAAAAATCTTGGAATTAGAGAGAATCGAGTAGGATAAATACAACGGAGCAAGAAATAAGAAGATAGTCGCAGCAGAGACCACTCTCATCCAAAAGCAATAAATCTAAATGAATGCACTTAGAAAGAAGTGCGAGGGCCAGATGGCTGAAGACAGAAAGTTGAGAGAGCAACAACAGGAGAAAATGCTATAGAGATATATGAACATTAAGAAGGAACTTGAAAATGCTCAAAACTTAGAAAGAATAAAACTAGAAAAGCTATTTGGAAAGCAAATCCTTGCTAGTCAAACATCATTGTCATACGGTCAAAACAAAGATAACTTACAATACTCAGCCAGATTAGGATCACCAGGCAGAAAGAACTGGGCAAGTGCTAGCGCAAACCTAAATAATCCAGCTAGCAAACCATCCAATCAGTGATCCACTAGCAGGAACTTTACATTGAGAAAAGCACACTTCAATTTTTATTCTTAACCTTGTTTATTTAAGCTTTAATCCTACTCTTGGGCAAGCATGTGCTTGAATATTCATTTAATTATGCTCTCATCATCTACCTCTAATAATATTCATGGGGTTTTGGGGTTTTGGGGTTTTGGGGTTTTGGGG